CCATGTTTATAGGCACACATATATATGAGCATGCGCATATATGTCTTTATGCATTTAAAACTGCATATCACAGATTTTAATCCCCATTCCTTTTTTATCTGTAAAAACAAGGTCACTACCCCACATGAGTGTTTCGCAGAGAGTCATTTTAGGACACACTTAAAAAAAAAAAAAGACCCAAATACATGCTGCCGATTCATTGGGGAATTTTGGATGTTCATGTATTTCATTTACATGCAGTCCCCACTTTGCCAGGATTAGAACAGACACCCCCAGAAGCCGTGTCAGGTGCCACGGGCTAAAGTAACAGCAACTGCTTTCACTTCTAAAAATTAAAAGAAGTCTCTTTCTCCTTATAGTGAAAATAATTCATGGTCATTGTTGAAAAGGTAGAAAATATAGGTAAACAAAAATAACGAAGCCAGAACAGTCCTAATCTCATAACTCAGAGAAAAGGATGCTAACTCTATATTCAGACCCATATCACATCTTTACCTATTCCTAAATCCGTTTATACATTTAAGTGTATACACTTAGACATTTATGTAAATGTAAATATAGCTATTCTTGCTTTTTTTTAAGCACAGAAATAAGATGCAGTCCCCACTTTATTATATAATATGATTTATTTTGCTAACAGGATATTGTGAATATCTTTCTATACCATTCATCTTATTCCACATCATCTCCAGGGGCTCCAAGGTATCCCATTATATGGCTTCAGTTACAGGTTGAAAGGAGTGGTTCTCACAGTGTGGTCCCTGGACCGCAGCATCAGCACTGCCTGGGAACTTGTTAGAAATGCAAATTCTCAGGCCCCACCTGAGACCTGCTGAATCTGGGCTTAGGACCACAATCTGCATTTAAATAGCTGCCCACGTGATCCTGAGGATTGCTGAAGTTTGAGAACCGCTTCTTTAGGCAAGCATGGCTACAGTTCTTAAGGGAGAACATTCTACATGTTTGACCTAGAACCTCCAACACTTACCTGTGCTCACTAAGTTCAGGCGAAGGAATCTTTCAAGGAAAGTACAATTCCTCTTCAACTCTGAATTCTAGATTAAGGGAACCAAGGATAAAGTCGGGGCATCTGTGAAATCCTTGAAATGATGAGAAAAATTTAGAATTTGAGTACATTTTTCTGGGGAAAAGTACACCTATTAGATTTCAAACAGACCATGACCCAAAGATAACTTTTTATTTGTTATTTTTGTTTCTATACGTGCTGCTCTGTTCATCCCAGTATTTTAAAGAAAAAAATCTACCCAGGGGTCCATTGGGCACCGTGCCCGAGCAATATGTGGAATGGTAACCATTTCACTCTTCATCGTTAAGTAGGCCCAAGACCGGCCTTCCTTTCCTTTCTAAAGACTGGCCTTCCTTTCCTCTCCTGGGCAGGCAGTTTGCATTCTGCAGATCTCCAGCTAAGCCCCACCCCTGACCCTGTGTAGGATGTGGTGTGCACATTTTTAAGCCCCAAGTGAAAATAGAAGCTTTCTTGATCTTTTACGGTTTTTCACCCAGAAATTCTAGATCTATGACTTTGTCCCAAGAAAATATTTAGATACCTGTGAAAGTTGGTATGCAAAGTGACTACCATAAAATTATTTGTAATAGAAAATTAAAATAGCCCAAGTGCCTAACAGTAAACATTAGTTACAGAGATTATATAGTAAATGAAGTCATGGGGTGGAACGTTGAACAGTTAGTAAAATTGTTTTGTTTTTTTGAAAAATGATTAGAGGCATAAAAGAATCATGCAATAATATGAAGTGAATATTAATTGAACTGGATTAAATATAGTTTAGAAATTATTTAGCCCAATTCAATGTCCATGTAAAAAAATATCTGGGAAGAATGAAACATGTATGTGCACATTCTCACTTTCTTCTTTTCTCCATATTATCAAGATTTTCTAAGATTGATGCATTGGTTTATAAATATCTATGTGAAATAAAATAGACTGTTGCGGTGAGGAAGCGCACCACCCACTGTCTGAGTGTTACATGGACTTTAGCTTTATAATTCTGGTTCTAACTAGACCCTTCTATGAGGGAGAGCATTTCCTCTCCAAATGTGTCACTCAACAGGCCAGACCACGCCTTTGGGACAGACCTAGGCCCATTTACTTACTTTCTGGGAGCAGAGCTGAACCCAGAGCCTAATTTCATGGTGTCTGTCAGCGAGATCGGCTTGCTCCTGGCAGAAGTTCCAGCATCCTCTCTAGAGATAAGGATCAGGAGAGTGATGAGCGATGTGACTGTGGGTCACACGCTGATCAGCCTTGATGCAGTCTCCCTCTTCAGAGCCTGGGGTGTTCTGGAGTCCAGAGCCCCCTTTGAATTAGCCTGCGTGTCAATGGAAGTCACTGCTGAGGCCAGCCCTTGACTGACTGCTTCCTGTAATGTCATAGTGGGGTGACTGGAACTCAAAGTGACATCCATCAGTTTATATTATGTTGCACCTCTTGCTATGCCTGTTTGTAGAACAAACTTTATTCATCTTTCCCTAGCAGTGTCCACATGTTTTGGGAAGCTTAGTTGTACCCATGGTACTCAACGACAGTTGGTTAGTTTGGCAAGTTCAGTCACTCATACAACAAATAAGGATGGTATATCTCCCTCGCACCAGGTGGGCTACGACTTTCTAGAAGTGGTGTGGCGAGCAACCAGACCCTGCAGTGCCCACAGTCCCCGAAGGACACAGGCATTCAACCAGTAAGCCTGATAGTCGATGTGTGGCTGCTGCCGCCTGACGCCGGGCGGGAATTTTCACGAGCGCTCTGTTTTGAGTTGCAGAAGCAATGTCAAGATTTGCATATGGTTTTAAAACTGTAAACAAGAGTAGTTATGATGACATCACCCCCACTTTCTTTTGTTTCGGGCATGCTTCCCTCAGTGAGTACCATTACAGCAAAGCTCCCGGGGCCCTGTGAGCCCTGGGACTCCTCTGGAAGTGGGCGGACGTCTTCCAGTGGACATGCTGCAGGGGGAAGGGGAAAGCCGTCAGGAAGCACCGCCTGACCAGAGGGTATTCCTCCCTAGACTCGTCAGTGCCAGAGCTGTCACAGTGAGCGTTTGACATCCCCGAGTCTCCACGTTGTCATCTGTGAAATGGGATCATGACTCACCTTACAATTGGTTATGAAAACTAACAAGATAATCAATATAAGCACCTTGCCCAGTGCCTGGTGAATTCAAATGCTCAAAATATATTAGTTGCCTCTGATTGTGCCTGTATAAAGAAGACCAGGGTGGCTCCTTTCAATCTCTGCTCATGCAATCAAAGTTTTTCGAATATAAGAAGTCTCAGAAGTGTTGGAGGCCCAAGACAGGCATTTAGTTTTTTTTGACTTGTGTGTAAATCTTTCACCCTTTTTATGATCACATGGATTCCACAGATATCTTCTGAGCATCAGGGAGCAGTCACGGTGGGATGTGTCAGCAGATGAATCCGATGCTCTTCCTCTTCTCAACAGACTCCTAGACTAGTGGGACACCAGGGGACAGAGGGACAGAGGGAGTCACCCGGGCACGGAGGAGGTCTCCTGCAACAAGCAGGAAGGGAAGCAGCAGGAGAGCAGCATCCAGGCTTGGAGCTGGGGCCAAGGATTAGGAGCCCAAGTCAGGACGAAGAAAGCAGAAGGGAGCAGAGTGAGGCTGAAGAATCCAAGGGAAGGAAGCCAAGGATTTCTTTCTTTTTTTTTTTAATATTTTTTATTGATTTTTTACAGAGAGGAAGGGAGAGGGATAGAGAGTTAGAAACATCGATGAGAGAGAAACATCGATCAGCTGCCTCCTGCACATCTCCTACTGGGGATGTGCCCGCAACCAAGGTACATGCCCTTGACCGGAGTCGAACCTAGGACCCTTCAGTCCGCAGGCCGACGCTCTATCCACTGAGCCAAACCGGTTTCGGCAAGGATTTCTTTATAGTTGTCCACCCGTTCCCTTTACAAGTCACGGTACAGGGAGGCCACCTGCATAGCAGAGTCGCATGTCAAAAGTGTAGCTAGCTACAGACCCACATGCTGCTCTGGACTTCATCTCTCAACACACGTGGCCACTGCTACAGGGAGCAGCCAGCCCGAAGGGAAGAGAGGATGGGAAAGCGTGTGCCTGCGGTACGCAGGGAGAGATTGTCCAGGCCGACCTGAGCACAAGTAAATGTACTTTATGTACAGCGAATACTTCAGGAACTGAGGAAATTAATCTGGCATGAACATCGTTGGATGCAAGTTCAGACCGTGTGTGCGTGTCTGTGTGTGCGCACGTGTACGTGGGTCATGGGCATCTTCCAAGTACTCTGGGACTCTCAACAATATATGACCTACAAGACAGAGTCAGGGGGGCACTTTTAACCTCAGATCTGTGCCAGGATTCTGTGTGAAATGGTGCCAAGCCAAAACGTGTGCCTCCAGCGGCCCCTCTCCACTCTTCTCCCACGAGAGAGTGTGCACCGGGCCGGGGCCGACAGGGCAAGTGTCCCACCTCCCAGTTCGCATGGAGCCACTGTAACTTTAAAAAGATTGAACAAAGACTACCTCCACTAGCTAAGCTGAAATAAGAACGTCTCCCGAGTTTAATGGATCAAGTAGCGGTGATAGGTTTTATGGTTCTTTTTCACTTTAGGGCACGGGGAAGAGAGAGCCAGGCAGGTTGGTTTTAAATTCAAGGATTTATGCTGTTAATCCTCGGGGCTAATTATAATTTATGGGATCTTGGCAAATTAATATGCGGTTGCTATTCAAAAGTGGAGAGCAATGTGAGGCAGGCATAAACAAGCCTTGTTCATTTTTAATTTATTTCCACCAATGGAGAATATTAAATAAAATGAACACTAGGGTATTTCGCTCTGAGTTCGGTGTTCATTATTTATCTCTAAATTATGAAATTCATATAACAACTGCTTGTTTTTTCACCAAGAACCCAGAAACAGCGAGTGATAGCATCCGGATAAGTAGGAGGCGATCAGTAATTCTTTTCTCTACTGCTTCTAAGACAGGCCTAGTGGTGCGTGCATGGATACGGAGGTGTTCCAAGCATGCAGGTGGGTGAGGTCCAAGATTTGGTGTCACATACGTCAGGATAGTTTAGAAACAGGACTTGGAAGTGGGATGTGAGTTTACAATCCCAATTCCACAGAAACGAAAGTTCTAGTCCTCCCATGCCAGGGCGTGTTGCGTCCCCAGGGCTTTGGGAGATCCCAGTGTATTGCTGGCCTGGTAGATGCTGAGTAGAGAGGTGACTCTATGATAGGCCTTTTGTCAAGCAATCTCATTGCACCCAGGACCTCCAGTTTATCAGCACCCCCTAGGCCAGTGGTTCTCAACCTGTGGATCGAGAACAATGAAAATACATCCTGCATATCAGATATTTACATTACAATTCATAACAGTAGCAAAATTACAGTTATGAAGTAGCAGCGAAAATAATTTTATGGTTGGGGGTCACCACAACATGAGGAACTGTATTAAAGGGTCACGGCATTAGGAAGGTTGAGAACCACTGCCCTAGGCTGTTTACAGAATTCACTTTTAAAGAATTTAGCTTTTCACCCATGAACAACTGGCAGGAAAATTTTCGCCAATTGATAACCAGGAGGCAGGCAGATTCATCTAGCATGATAATTAGTTGCTCCACCAGACACAAGAATGTCCCTCCCATTTCCCCTCTACCTTCCCCCCTTCTTCCTTGCTTCCCTTCCCCCTCTCCTCCTCCCCGCAGGGAGAGGCCAGCACGTGCTGCTTGGAGAGCTGCGGAAGCCTTGAGCTCTGAGCCCAAGAAGCAGGTTGGAGTCCTCCCCCCAGCTGTGTAGCTCAGATAACAGCTGGAGCAGAGAACAGGCTGTGCTCACTGCTAGAATATCTGACCCAGTTCTGACTGGCGCAGAGACTTAATAGTTGGTACCCCAAGTCTTTCTCCCGCCTGTGTGAAGGGAGGGAAGCAGGCCTTTCTCTCCACCCCAGACACACACTCCCGTCCAACTCTGTCCCCCTCGCCTCTCACTTCTTTCATTTTCTTGTTGGTGGGAAAGTGAAGGGCCACTTTCAACAATTCTGAAGAAGCAATGGGATGTTTTGCTTTGGGAGGGAAGGTAGCGTGGAAAGGCAAGGGTTTCTGGAGTCTGACAGCCGCCAAATCCAATCCCAGCTCTACCTTTTATCAGCTGGGTGTTGTGTGGGGCAAGTTACCTAACCTTTCTGAATCTTCTCACAATAACAAGAGAATACTATTGTTACAGGTCTGTGGGGACTGTTATGAGAAATGAGATGTTGAGAAGCACCTGGCACATTGCCTACCTTCTTCTACCTGGTCTTAATTGATAGCTCTGCCCCTTTAACCCCCACCCTTGTACATAATAGATTCTCAGCAAATATGCCTAGGACTGAATTGACCAGAAGAGTGCATTTGTACCTCTGGCACTCAGGGTCATAGACACTGTGACCCTGGGAGGACATCCCAGATCTGTGAATAAATGTGACAGGTCGTGTATATACCCCCCAAAGCTGGAGGGGCTGAGTACCTGTGGGGTCGTGTGTCTCTGTGATATGAGCAAGGCCTTCGATAGACAAGCAGCCTGGCACTGAGCGCTGGCTGGAAGTGACTCTGTACCTGCAGATTGTTTTCTCGGTCATTGTTTCTCTGTCATGTTTTATTTTCGTTTCTGAAAACAGCAGGAAATCCAACATGTGTGTTGACAGACTCCTGGCTTTGCAGTAGCTCCTTATTCAGGGGGTGTTCAGCCTAATCATTTTTTGGCAAGAGGACATTCAATTTCCTGCATTATTTAGCAATAAAAACTTAAACCTAATTGAAATCATGTACTCAGTATTCTATATTATTTTTAGTTCAGTAATCAATAATGTTATGGTTCCACTTTTTTTTTACGTACTCCTCTGAAGGAGTAAGATGAAAAAATAAAAGCCAAAAAGTTAAAAAAATAAAACAAAAAACTGCATTTGGCAAGAGAATGAAAAGTTCTAAAAGAAAGGCAGGAGGAAATTTTGGGGAGAAATCGGCATGAGTAATGTGTAAGCAAGGGCGATAGAAAAGGATCAGGGTGTCACCGCAGTACAAGTGCTCAGGCTTATTATATTACAGAGTTTTGTCCAAAGAACAGTTGGTTTTGATTTATCGGCCATGTCCTGCCATGAACCCAGATGTGTGTCCACTGGCTCTAGTAGGAGAAAGCTTTGTGTAACAGCCTCCATCCTGAATTCAAATTCTAGTTCTCCCATCCTGTCAAGCTTTGTAGAGGGGTCAGGCTGATCAGACATGTCTCCTTGAGGATGAGCTGTCTCTTAGGACCCTGCTAGGCACCTCCCACAAATGTGATTCTTTCTGGTGGGTGCCGCAGAGAGCTCCCAGCCATACCTGATGCCCACACTTGTCTGATCCCCAGGACTGGACACAGCCCACGCTCAGTCAGAGAACCTTACCCCTCTGCTCCTCCTTCCCAGCTTGCTAACAACACGGGAAGCTAGGTGGTTTCATCTTTCCTCTTAAATACAGGGGTGGGCAAAAGTAGATTTATAGTTGCTTGAATGGAAAATAATACAATGATTAATAAATAAGAATATCAGAATAAACTCTTGTGTTTTGGGTACCTACAACGATAAGCCTATTTTTGCCCACCCTTGTATGTGTACCTATGAAAGTCAAGATTTTTGGTTCAAGTCTACTGTCCTGTCAAAAGGGTTCTGCACTTGATTTAGAGATAGGAGATGAGGTTCACAAGTACATAAAGGACCCACATGTCAAGTCATCATTCTCTTATGCTGAGTATTGTTGAAGCTCATGATAGACCCCAGGAGGGAGAGAGATGGTGGTATGGTTGAATGTTGCATCCCCTACAAAATTCCTATGTCCAGATCCTACTCTCTAATGTGATGGAATTAGCAGGTGGGGCCTTGGGGCGGTGATTTAGTGGTGAGGGTGGAGCCCTCATGAATGAGATTAGTGCTCTTATCAAACAGGCCCAAGAGAGCTCTGCTGCCCCTTCCACCATCTGAGGATACAAGACGTCTGCCACCCAGAAGAGGGCCCTCCATTGATCATGCTGACACACCTGATCTCAGACTGTCAGCCTCCAGAGCTGTGAGGAATCAGCGTCTGTTGTTTATAAGCCATGTGGTCTGTGGCAGCCCAGTCACACTAAGAGAGACGGAAAGCATATTTGGTCTAATTTTCTTTGCTGCTTCTCTGAGCCCTAGAACTGTTTCCAGGAATGTCCAAACCCGAAACATCCGTCTATTTGGGGGCTTCCAGCTTCTAGGATGCCTGCTTTTCTCTCAATCCTTTTCCCAGCAAATTATTTAAGGACAACTCTTCCATACACCCTTTCCAGAAAAACAGGAGCTAAGGCACCCCATTGCGACCAACACAAATGTTCCTGATCATTTGTATCTTGGTTTTATTTCTCTTTCTAACACTATGCAAAAGACTAAGACAGCACTTGCGTGAACGTTTGCACATCACTTCAATATTCATTTCCAGTAATTTATTCACAGTTGTAAAGTTTATTACCCACAATATAGAGTCATAGAATTTTAGAGCCGTAGGACAGGGGAGAAATCATCTAGCCCCACCTCCTCATTGTACAGATAAGGAAACTGAGGTGAGGAGGGCTCAGGTGACTGATCAAGGTCAAGTTCTGAATGAGAGGCACAAAGTCAAGTCTCAACAGTCAAGCTTCTGTTGAATGCAGCTCTGCGATGCTAAAGACCATCTCGTTCTTCCTGCGCAGAGAGCCTTCTCCCAAATCATCATCTTGTTTCTCCACAATCGAGCAGGTGCCCGTTGAGTGCCAGCTCAGTGCTGGGTGCTTGAGAACAGCCATGAATGACATCATCATGGTGATGGCACTCACAGTCTAGCAGGCAAAGAGGCGAAGCAAATAGACCAACGTATGCACCTGTGATTACAAATTGTGATAAGGGCTCTGAAGGAAATAAACAAGGTTTGTGTGGGAACAGTGGTGGGCGGTGTGTTCGTGGGGCTGTTATACCAAAGCACCACGACTGGTGGCTTGTAAGCAACAGAAATTTATTTCTTGCAGTTCTGGAGGCTGGAGGTCTGAGATCGGGGGTCCCTGCATGGTCGGGTTCAGGTGAGAACCCTCTCTCTGTTGCAGACTGCTGACTTCTCACTGTGTCCTCACAGAGTGGAAGAAGCTAGGGAGCTCTCTGGGGTCCCTGTTAGAAGGGCACTAATCCCTTTCAAGAGACTCTTCCTTCATGATCTAATTGCCTCCCAACGTCCCCCCCTCCTAATGCCATCACAGTGGGGGGTTAGGATTTCAACATATGAATTGGGGGGGAAACACACAAACTTTCAGTCTACAGCAGGAGGGTGGGGCTGGGTCCCTGTTAGAAGGGCACTAATCCCTTTCAAGAGATTCTTCCTTCATGATCTAATTGCCTCCCAAAGTCCCCCCCTCTTAATGCCATCACAGTGGGGGGTTAGGATTTCAATGTATGAATTGGGGGGAGACACACAAACTTTCAGTCTACAGCAGGAGGGTGGGGCCGGGCAGGGGACTGATACTGTGCTTTCGTGGGAGGTGGGAAGAGAGGCTGAGCAGGGGAGTGAGCCAGCACAGTGCGTTCGCGAGCAGTTGTTGCAGTGGTCACGTGGTGCAGACTCCACTGGGGAATGCTGGGGTCAGTGTGGAACACAGTCCTCTGAGGCACCCCCCAGCGGGGGCAAACAACCTGGGGTACTTGCCCACAAGCTCCCAACGGCCATGGGTTGAGAACTATTTTCAGGGCAGTAACTTCCCAGCACTTCTGGTCTGCACCCTGATCCTATATTTGCAATATTTGGAACATGCTTAGACTAAAATGCAAATTTATCGGAAAATTAATTTTAACTGGGCATTCTGTATTTTATCGGGCAATCCCGGGCCCCTCCCTTGAACGCTCCTTCGATGGGTTCAGCAGCCTCTGCAGCCAGAGAAGGTGTCAGCATTGCCGCTGCTTGTGGAAGGAAGGGCTGAGCAGGAGCTGCACCAGGCAAGGCC